AACTGGGCTCCACATGCAGCATGCAGCAACAGTTCATAGAACGGGGATGGAAAACATCTGATCAGAAGGGACGTGGAAATGGAAGTTGAGCAAATGTAGGTCAGAGCAATACCCAACTACTCGGCCACAGTGAGTAGTACTCAGAGGAGAGTGGAATTAGTTTTGTTAGGGATATAAGTAAAGTAATTGCATCTGTGGACCGACCAACTGGTGCACGTGTTATAATGCTATTTGCTGTCTATGTCTCCTTGACATAGTTTCTGTGAAGTTCTGTAGGACACTTGGGCCTGCTTTCAGCCCTCTGTGTAGCCCATGGCCATTTGGCATTGGCTCTCCGGTGGGATCGATAAGGAATCTGCTTTGTAGCTGGGGTTATGTCACGAGTGAGTTCCCAAGACACTGTGATTCACTTGGCATCGTTTTGGGCAGTTTAGAATAGGAGCAAGCCAGATCCTCAGCTGGTATAAATTGCTGTTACTATATTAGATTCAGAGGGGCCTAATTGTAAGTGCTCAAGTAGTCACCGAGGGTTGCGCAATCTATTGCTTTTATGGGTGTGTGCTCACCCATAAAAGTGAGATTGCACAACCTATCCCTCTGTGAATGCCTCTCTTAGCTGCTAATTGAAAACAAACGTGGTAGGATTAATAGTTCCCTTCTCCAGATTTTTGGTGTTATAAATTACTGTATGCATCTACCACTTGTATTAAGAGATGATACTCTATTGCAAGCTCAGTAAGTCCCAATAGCAATGACTGGGGGGTCTTCAAACAGAGAAAAGTTGGACTTGCAGAATGTTGTTTATTATTATTATTATTATTATTTATTATTGTTATTTCTTTTTCCAGTTGCTATGGCTTTGGTGCCTGGTGCAGCACAGAGTGCAGCTTCCAAGCCTGCATGGAGGAAGTTACTATCAAAACTTCAGACTTAAGCAGAGGAGGGGAGGGCCTGGGCTGTTTTGCTGCACAGGAAATGGGGCATTTTTCTGTCCAGTACTTAAGTATATTTTTCCTTTACAAAAGCCTGCCCACATTTGGCAATAGGGAAATAGGAAATTGTCTTTTCCCCCATTTGGGAGGAAGTTGCTCTCTGTCCTCTTAATTAGTTGTTTGAAAGATGAAAGGAAGTGCCCTGGGGTCCGGGAATTCCAGGGGGTTTGGTATTTCTGAACCAAAGAACTTCTAAGAAATGGCACATTATGAATTCTAATTTATCAGGGCCCCACTGAATCCTGCCTACAGAGGCACTTACATGGATCCATATCCTGTGCTTAATGAAGAGCAGAGGCTACAGCAGCTATCAGGCTATTGCTTCTGCAGACCTGGACACACATATCAGATGTACTTCCGGCAGCTGGACTGTTCCTTTCTGCTACCTGATGGTGGATGAGACTTTGGGCTTTATTTTCCTGTGGCTTCCGTAATTATTGCCTAAGGGAGAGTCCCCCCACATTAAATAGTCTTGACAAACAGAGATATAAAGGATTATAGGGTTAGGAATATAAAGCCTGCTTTCTGCATAAGAGAGATACCTGCAGCAAGGCTGTAAGATGAGTGTTCAGAGGGTCAACCTTTCCTATAGTTGTACCAGCTGGTTTTGTTAAAGTAGCCCCACAAAGCTCTGTTCTTCCCCTGTTCTCCTGAGACTGTCCTTGCTCGGTCTTGGGTCCTCAGGCTGTCACATTTTCTGCAAGTGGCTTGGTGGCATGCACGTGGCTTGAAAGCAATAGTCATAACAGCAAAACAACCCTGTACCTCCTTGTCTTCATCCATCCAGGAGGATGCAGACCTAAGCAGCATTGTTCGTGTTCCTTCTACTGTCCTTGGGGGTGCTGGTCATTGCCTTTTCCTTCTCTGTGTCTCTATTTAATGTGTGTTAATCCATTTAAAAGGGCCTTTTAATGTGTGTGTTAAGGGAGGTCTAGTTGTACTTCTGTAAGTGAATAAATGATTAATTCTGTTTGTTCTTTGGTTTTGAAAGCTAAAATGCCAGACCAGTCTAATAAAAATCCTTCTGAAATTCCCTCTGTGTGTGGCTCAGCATCTTCAAGACCCATTTTTCTTGAGCATTTTTGATTTCTCTCATGTGTTTGCTGTTAAAGCCTATATTTTTAGTGCTTGTCAGCCCTTTCAGTCAGCAGAATCTTATTTTTACAACATGCTCTGCATGTGCCTGTAGCTCCTGTAGAGCATTTCACAGGGGGCCAGAGACTGCTTCGGGGTGAGAGCATTATTTATTGAGGTAAATCTGACCTCTGGCCTCTCACCCCAAAGGCCATGTTCTTGTCTGTTAGCAGCAAACCTGGGCACATACCGAGTGCTCCTTTCACTCTGATTATATATATATATTTTTTTCCCCTGTGCTGAGCAGCAAGATTTCCTTCCACTGCTGGTATATCCCAGGTGGTTACATGATGTGATTGGCATTGTCATGTTTCACAGGAGCAACTTGAGAGAGTAATAGCGACCTTCCCTTCCCCACCGTTTCTTTAGTAGGAAAGGGAAGGGAAACAAAGTCTGGTTTCAGGGACAAATAATTTGTAGCAGCTGCACAAGGAGTAGCAGTATCATGCTGCATTTTGAGATGCAAATGTGGCATGGACTAGATGTTAGAAGTAAAATGCGTAGAGATGTGTTTTCACTACTCCAACATCACTGGGACTCAAGAGAGAGGAAACATGAATGTGGGAAAGTTACCATAAACCCTAGGGACAGATGTGTGCTGGTAAAAATCAGCATTGCCTTTTCATCACTGCAGTCATTACTGTGTGCAGTTCTGGTGTCCTCAACATAAAGACATGGAAGTGTTGGAACAAGTCCAGAGGAGGCCACAAGGATGAACAGGGGCTGGAGCACCTCCAGTAAGATAGGCTGAGGAAGTTGGGGCTGTTCAGCCTGGAGAAGAGAAGGCTGCGTGGAGACCTCATAGCAGCCTTCCAGTGTCTGAAGGGGTCCTACAAGAGTGCTGGAGCAGGACTCTTCATTAGGGACTGTAGTGATAGGACAAGGGGTAATGGGTTCAAACTGAAACAGGGGAAGTTCAGGTTAGATATAAGGAAGAAATTCTTTACTGTAAGGGTGGTGAGGCACTGCCCAAGCAGGCTACCCAAAGAAGTGGTAAATGCTCCATCCCTGGCAGTGTTCAAGGGCAGGCTGGACAGAGCCTTGAGTGATGTGGTCTAGTGTGAGGTGTCCCTGCCCATGGCAGGGGGGTTGGAACTGGATGATCTTAGGATCAGCTGTCCATGTGAGGGTCTGCAGCACTGTTGGAAAGATCCATTTGCCTCCTGTACTGGTGTAGGTTGGGTTATTTCCTGGGGAGGTTTACAAAATACCACCTTTTATGACGCTGCCTGTACTTCTTATCCCTGTAAGTTTTGATACCCTTGTCCTCTTTTAGACAGTATGAACAAACAATAGTGATCTCAAAAGGGCAGGTTTCCCTTTTCAGGTTAGATAAAGAGGGGAAAAATGCTCATGCAAGTTCAGCAGGCACTAGAGCAGGCTAGAATTGGAATTGGTAATGTGATGAATGTATAGTGATGTGAAAATCTGGTGGTAGAGCTTATGTCTTAGTAGACAGCAAATGTCTACGAGAGCTGTGCAGGAGTGGGTCCATTAAAATGGAAACAAAATAAGGATGCAATGGCAAGATAATGTCCATGAGAAAAAAAGAACCCTTTTCTCCTTTGAATTAGAGTAGTGTCTTAGTCCAACACAGATTTCAGATTCTCTGCACATCATTTGCAATTACTACTGGAAGGCTGAAATGCACTCAACTGGTGTAGCTATAATTGCAGCATGGTCCCACTCCTGCTGAGTACTTCTAGACTATATTTAGTATGTAATTGAGTCGTGCTAACGTGGGCTATTAGTTCAAATGCTGGTGTAAATGAAGCGGACAGTATTGAGATGTGCTTTAAGATTGTCAAGCAATGCTAAATCAGATCAGATGTTCTCACTGTGTCTCGCGGTTCAGTTGGTGTTGCTCCTGGCAAAGCACTCGTAATGCCGTGTGGGTGCTTGCAAGGGATCCGGCAGCTGGGAATCCCATGGCTCAGATCTCCTGCATCCTTCCTACTTCCAAATGCTCCCATGAAGGTTAAGGAATTCAAGGAAGACCTAACATGGCAAGGTCCAAAAATGCCATGGCGCAGGATGAGATTAGGGGAAATGATGTTAGCTGAAGGCTGTGCTGTGTGTTTGGAGAGGTAAATGTTCCATGCTGATTCCAGAGGGTTGGATACACCCCCTGGGCTGACACTGGCTCATGCATCCCGAGCACTGTGAGCTCAGCTCAGCCCTTGTCCTGCCAGATACCAGCAGGGAGGGTAAAGACCCAAGAGGTTATCAGGGGAAGGAGATCAGTTGTGTTACACACGTGGAGGCGAGGACAGGAATTTGCCTAACAGAAGCTGCCATCATGTGCCAGTTTTGTTGCAAGGATGGAACAACTCGAGTAGCGCTTGGACTAGGAAATGCGTGTCAAAAGGACATGGTTCTGACTGAGAGGTAGTCACTAAAACTGTTGGAACCCGTTGTGATTGTAGATATAGCACTTCTTGGCTTTTATGTGCACTTTTCACAATGTTCCAGTGATGATAAAATAGCTTTTCTAATGCAGAGGCAGGGTTTTCTGTTGGAAACGTTGCCTTTTTCACACTGTGACTAGCATCAAAATGCTAAAATTGTATTAAAAAGGGAAAGAACCCAACAACACTGGTATTTGGTGATCCAGTAAGTAAGCATGGCTTCTGTATATTCTATATATCATAACAGACCTGCACATTTTTAAGGAAGCCAATTTGTCTAAGGTCTTAGTATTGCTATTGCAATAGCTGAAGTGCAATAGGGCACTCCTCGAAACTCTTCTTAGTTTGGACAGGCATCATGACAAACAGGCAAAGCCCTGGCAGATGTGGGAAGTGGGGCACTGTTAGCACAATGAGGCTTTCTGACTGGCGTAATCATCATCTGTGTTGCAATCTTTCCTTCTAGGAGACCGAGCTGCTCGATATCAGCCTTGTCAAAGATGCCAGATGTGGAAAACACGCCAGAGCTCCCAAGGTAGGAATTCTTGCTGTGTGCTTATGTGTTACGTTGATGACCTAGATAAAATAGAATGGAAGTTCTATGCAAGAAGTTCCCTTAGCTAAGAAGTATTGTCTTTTCTCCATTTAATAGTGGTTTCTGATGAGAAGTGTTGGGATTGCTGTGCTGTTGTCGTTTGATTCTGTGTGTAAAATGCTGCTGGTGGTGAGCGAACAAAACTCCTAGGTTGTCAAGGTAAACTTCTTACACAAGTTCTTGGCTCCCCTGATGGCAAGGAGCTGTCAGTTGAGGTCCATGTTGTGTTTTGGGCTGCTGATTTCCCTCTTTCAGTGCCTCTTGAGGCCACAAAGAGGTTTCTTTGGTTTGTTTTCTTTTAAACTGTCTATCAGAGAGGTCAGAATACAGCTCCCTTCGGTCTGTTCTGCTGTACTGCATGCTCCTGCACCGTCTCTAAAGACAGGGGTTATAGATACATGTTCTCTGGTGGTTTTGTTTGGACATACTCTACATATCAGAGAAGATACCAAAGCACTCAGCTCTGGAAGCGAGATAGCCTCGGGGAATTACAGGAGTGATAGGAGATCGGGTATCTCCTCATGGGTCTGAAATGGTTAGCTGCAGTTGACCTGATGGGATCAAAACCCAAAGTAATGCTTCTCCTACCCTCATCCTGCATGAGGAAAATGCTGGGTCTTAATGGCCATGGCTTCCCACTGGGATCTCCTCTTACCTGCACCCAGCCCTGGGTCGGAGCCTGACCCCATGGGCTCCTCATCCCTTCAAGCGCAGGCATCAGGAATGGAAAAGGTTGTTTCTCTGTGCCAGAGTGTGATTGTAGTTATCTCTGAACGGACTATTCGCATTCAGTTTTCAAAGCTTTCCATGTAGTGCTGGCAGCATTTTAAAGGCTGAATTATAATTGAAATGCAACAGAAGTACTTCATGACATCCACGTTAATACCAAGTGAGTTCACCATGATTAATGGTTCAGTGATGAATAGCAATAAAGTATTAACAATGTGTAGAACATTACTTTAAAATGCTCCCCGCTTTACAGAGGACATTCATGTTCTTTGAACAAAACGTTTCTAGCTAAAATTTATGCATAGGTATTGCCTGGGTGACTTTTATTTATTAGGGTACATAAAGGCTGTTTTTGTTAACAACATGTTATGGATTTGACAGCAGTGGCATTAAATGAAGGGTATGAGAAAATCCTGCCTTTTAGGGTGGTGAAATGCACCACCTGTGTGAATGAGTTGCTTTTTGTCATCGATCTGTGTGTGGGCAGAATGAAAACAGCACCTGGGTTGGCTGCTGATGGGATCTTGCAAACAGTGTGAAACAAAACGCTCCTTTCTGGGCCAGTCCTGTTGGCTTTGCTTTGATCTGCGTTGTGGGGCTGAGCGGAGCAGTGTTGACTGCAGGTGAACAAGCCTTACAGCATCCCTGGTTGTGTCACATCCACAGAAGATCTAAGGCTCATACAGCAGCAGGAAAGCTTGGCTCTAAATCAAGCAATAGCAGCTTGTGATTGCATGTGAAAACCCTGGTACGCTGGCTTAAGAGAGCAGCACCATGCATGCATGGTACTTGCCAAAGTTCCTAGCTTTTCAGAGGCTCTTGCACAGTTCTTCGAGGTGGGAGCAACCTTTGCTCTCAGATGAGCATAAATAATGCACAGTGGTTAGGGGAAAGCAAGCTTCCCTTATGTAGGTGCAGAGATGGCTTGTTGCATGGTAAAAGCATGATGCACATGGTGATTATATTGTGCAGAATGGATCTGGTGTGGTTTACTGGTACCTGCAGAGCTTCTTACCCCCTGTGTAATACAGCCTACAGTATGAGCTGCAGAAATGGAATGGAGTTTAGCTGCCTCAGCAATAAATGCATCTTGCTGCCATAGTACCACTTAACACAGGTTTATCAGCCATCCCAGAAGTTAATCTCTCGTAATCTGGTGGGATTAGCATTAATTTGGGAATTTCCTTCTTGTAGTAGCCTTGCCAGACAGAAAGAACAAAATGCTGTTGTGCATTGATGCATCTTTGAGCGTAAAACAAGAGATTGAAGTGATTTTCTATCCATTCCCCTGTTAGCCCTCCCCAAGCCCATAGTCTTGGCCAATTTTTATACTGTATTAAGGGACTTCTGCCAGTTTCTGCATATTTTACAATCTATTTTCAGAATTCTAAGAGTGGGTTGTCATTAAAAACTTCAGAAGTTAATGGGAATCTTTAAATTTCAAGTCTGCTGCTGCCTTTTGATAGAAGTGTCACTTTAATCAGTCCTGAATTTTCTATTAAATAAAAGAAATGTGATTTTTATTTTTATAGCAAACTCAATTCCAGTGTCATTAGCAACACTCACAGTAAGCTACAAGAACCTATTCAGTGTGCTGCTACAGAAGACCATCAGCAGGTAGTGATTTTAGGGGCCAGTAAGCAATCAGTTCCCAAACCCCTCTTTCTTCCCCATCACCATCTGGAGCACACACTTCTTCCCCATATGCTGCCATATCCACCAGCAGGGACATTTCTTTGGAAGCTTAATTAATCTGCCAAGCTCTTGGTCTTTTTGATGGCTAGAAACAGAGTCTGTTCTCGTGCTGCATTCAGTGTACCTTCTGCACAGCCATCAGTAGTCTCAGTTCCTGAAACAGACAAACACAGTTTCTCTTTTCAGCATTACGGGTTGACATTCAATTTTTACAAGATTATTCCATAAATGCAGACATACCTGTTTTGTGATTGTTCTTGTGTGTTTGATGCATCTTTTAGTCATCACAAGAAGGGGGAAAAATAAAGCTTTTTAATGCTGGAGAAGTTGTCATCGATTAACAGCCAAATGCTCTGGTTTTATTTAGAAGGCATCGTACTCTTTTTGTGTTACTCCATTCCACCTTGTCCATAAATTTGTTGAAAATATGTAAAAATTTACTCCAGTAATTAAGTCCAAGCTATTGACTGTTTTCTGTAATGCTTTTGCTAAGTGGGCATAGTCTGTCCTCAGGAGAAAGGTAGTATTAGGCATGCTCATGTAAAAGGGGATACCTAAATGCACTTACACTGCTGTACGCCTCTCATAGAATCATAGAATCATAGAATAGTTAGAGTTGGAAAGGACCTTAAGATCATCTAGTTCCAAACCCCCTGCCATGGGCAGGGCCGTAAGCTCAGAGCTTTTCCTTTCTGGGTTTCTCACCCAGGAGGTCTGTTCCTTTCTCCAGTCTTTGTTATGTTTAGCCTTGAAAGTTCCCTTGAAGGCACAGAAGTGCAGCTCTCATCCTCCAGTTGTCCTTTAAGATAGCAAAAGGAATGAGCTGAGATCTCCTCAAAGTTAGTATTCAGCACCAGGTTGAAGCTGTGCAGATGGTCAGCTCTGCTTGCCACTTGCAAAACCACTTCTTCTCCAGCTTCTGGTTTGAGATGATTGTTGAGAGCCTCTTGAAACCTCTTTCCTGTTCTTCCCATTCCCTGCAGAATGAAGAGCAGAGCACCAGAGCTATTCCTGGCCACAACAGCAGTGCATGGGGGTAGCTCAGAAGGGTGCCTGCAAAGAGACTTTCCTGAGCAGTTCTCAGTAGACCTGGCTGAAACTGTGTAGAGTAGCCCAGCACTAGAGTACCATCCTAGAGCCAAGGTCATAGTCTAATCATCTAATGGTAATTATTATCTGTATTCTCACACTTCAGGGTACTGAAATGAGCTTACGGCTGCCCCTGAGAAGTGGGGTTACCATGTGAGTGGTGTGAAGCTTAAAGCCTTACCTCAGCTCCCCTGGGTGTTTTTCTGTGTTTATCCTTCTAGGAAACTCAAAACTTGCTTTCATCCATAGGAATGGCCACCAATTATTCCAAATGGTGCTTAAGGCTGGGAAGAAGAGACAAATTCAGGAGGTGCGTGCAAGTCTCTGTCCTACTTCAGGCACCCAAAGGGAGTTTTGTAGATTCAGGGGGTTAGGGAGACTCTGAGTCTTGAGCAGAGAGTCAGAATGGTTTTAGAGCAGAGCAAGTAGGGCACAAAGATTAAAGGTTAAATCAGTCAGGGTGTTTAGGGATCTGAAAATAAGCCTGTATGCCTCTCATAGATCTTAGATTTCTAGCGAGGTAAAAGGGAGATCTTTATTGGGTACTACAACACTTGATGCTTGGGGGATGAGAAGACCATCTTCCCACCCCAAATCAGTAAGCAGGATACTCAGACGTCCCCTGTTTTACAGAGAAGCTTCAGCATCACCTTCTTTTTCCACATTGTCAGGAATGAATCTTTAGCTCTTCAGCTGCTATTTCCAGAAATGATAACAGAATTTTCCATCTCAATGCAATACACAGGCAAAGGCTTATTCTTTGGAATAAGGGCAAATCTCAGGCAGCACAGAGCGCTGCAGCAGCTCTCTAAATGAGAAGAAAAATGAAAGTAGTGTTCTGAAGAGAGTAAGAAAAGACTTATTAATTGTGTATGTTAGGAAAAAGTGCCTGAATTCAAAATACAATGAAATTCATACAGAAGTGAGGGAATTATAAGATGATTATCAGCATTTCGCCTTTTTAGTAAGCATTAGAATCATTTAGGAAGGGAGCAAGAGAAGTTTTGGGAACAGGAGATTAATATGCAGTTCATTTTTCTCCCTTCAGCAGACGTGACTGCCCATGAATTCAGTGGAGCCCATTGAAAGCGTGCTGTGCCTTTCCTTACAGCATACAGGTACTCAGAGCTGCTGCCGGTGTCAGCACGGGTGCAGCCTTGGATGCTCAGAGCTCACCTTGTTTGTATTTTGGGATGCTGAAGGGATGTGAAAATCATTAGTTGTGATGGAGCAATTATTCGTTTCCTTTTACTCACACATTACCTGGTAGCACTCTCACAAGCTTTGTTTATGGGCAGATAAGGAAGAGACGTCCCTTCCCTTGTAAAGTGTAGCGAAGAGGTCTGCAAAATAGAATAACACAATGAGCAATGGAGAGAAACACACAGTGATGTACACTGAGACATAGAAATAGCTCTGAATGTTCA